ATGATATAGTTTTGATATGGATAATCTTGCTAGCAATGAGTATATCGGAGTCAAGCATGTGTGCAAGTTGGCCTGACAGGGGCCATGGGAATGTATTTTATCTAGAATGTGTAGGTAGTCAATAAACACATGTTATAATAACAGGTGTGAAATATTACCTGTCCATTTGATGTTCTGTATAATCAAGAACAATACTGTAGGTCATTTACATGATAAATAGTTGTGTTGCAGATGTGATGATATATCTTCATGTTCATTCTAATTGAGTAATATATATCAGTGAAATACTATCTGATGAGAGAGTAAGGTGACTCTCAGTCTGACTGTGCTAGTCGGACAGTTCTCAGGAGATCGTAGTGTTAATGCACCAACATATATTAGCAAAGCTTATTGAACTAAAGGAAATTTTAATGGGCCTTAGTATCGTGGTGGTACTTTAATCATAGACTCAGCACTTTATGATTGGAGTCAGTGAGTGAGTGAGTCAGATAGATGAGTGAGTGAGTGAGTTTAGTTTTACGCCGCTTGAGCAATATTCCAGAAATATCATCTTGGGAGACAACAGGAATGGGCTTCACCCATTGTAACCATGTGGGGAATCGAACCCAGGTCTTCGTCATGACAAGCAAATGCCACCCCGCTGCCCCTGATTGGAAAGAGGTATCACTTGCTTGTCTGGGGACAGATAATATTTGGGGGGGATGTGATGAGAACAGTGTTAGGAACAAGGTGGACCCATTTTCACTGTTATATCCCTGTTTGTGTTCGTGGATGCAAATACATATTTCTCATCAGACACTTATTTTCTGAATGAACATGCCACCACTTGCTTACCACCACTGTAGGCTAAAGACTTTGACATAGTTTAGTACAGGTAACTCACCTGTTGGAATTACAGACAGTTTGTTTTTTTACCAAACAAAAATACTAATTATTGATTGTTCTGAATAAAAGCGCACAAGCTTGATGCCTTGAATGTTCAGTTTTGTGTAGGATAATGTTTACCTTCTGATGGATGTACATGTGTAATTGCTATACCATGTGTGTACAGCCACATCCATATATTCATTTGACGTTCAAAACATATGCAGGGTCGTCTCTATAGATAATGTAATTCATTTTTGAGATTTGTAATTTGTGTTGGCATTCATGGGTTAATGTAGTAAATATATTTAAAGGAAAATTACAACTAAAATCCCACCCTGACAAAAATATCTCAGTGCCAACATCAGTGTCATCTGTTTTGACAAGGGAATCACCAGGGTATTTTGAATACAGTACCATGCCTGATTGAAGGAGTATCCATCGTTTCAAACCATTTCTTGTTGTCAATGTCAGAAAATTTATATCATAAAAAACCCATATGTGATACCTGAGTGCCTATGGATTTGACAACCCCTCTAGAGATTGGTCATTGAACTTTGAACTCTCATTGTAAATGCAAAATTCATGGGTTCATGACCAAACAGATGTCAGCTTTCTAAAACTGTCCAGCTTTTCTTTTGCCACCTCCTTTTCGAAATGTTGACTTTGACTAAAGAAATTACCCTCAGAAAACAACATTCTTTCATTGGTTCTCCTTTTTGTGATTCCATGGCGCTCCTAAACGAGATGGTGTATAAAATATCCACCATTGGAGATTTGTGGAAAATATTTCTTTCAAGATAGCATAGCTCACTCGTACCAGGAAGTATTGGTGGTCACTGGCTGATCTGAATGTTCCTCACCAAGGGTGGGGTGGTCAGACTTTCACTCAGGGAGGTATCATCATTTATCATCCAAAACTGTGTTCCACAGGAGATATCGCTTGTGTGAGATCAAACGATATCTCCTAGGAGATATCGTTTTGACAGTAGATTTTGTACAATGCCCTGACAATGCTTTGACGTCATGTACTTGATGACGTCACAATGCTATGACATCGCTGCACTGCAAGTCTAATGGCAGTACCATGTTCAGAGATGTACATTTTTCATGGAAAATTAATGAAGAGTGATTTTGGATGATAAATAGAATCTCACCCTCGTGTCTTCTGATATCAAATATATCAACACTCGTTGATAAAGTAAAAATATCCTCGGCAAGCCTCGGATATTTGTTACTTTATCAACTCGTGTTGATATAATTGATATCAGAAGACACGAGGGTGAGATTCTCTATGTCTCGCTCATATCATATCACTGTAAAAGATCTGACCTCAGTAAGATTGATTAAATATTCCGGCCTTTAGGCGTTATTAGTCCTGATAATCAACTGACCATATATTTTCAGTAATACCTATTGCATATGACAAATTGCACACATGCAAATATATACAAAACTCTGCTAACTGCAAATCAGTAATCCAACACATTTACAAAGAAAATTGTTGAGAAAGAAAAAGGCCCATCTATCTACATAACCTAAATTGAAATGACCATAATTTGAATTACAGAAATATTTTTAATTGACCTCACCTTAAGTGGTGCTTCAATAATGGCACCATTGTTGCATGGTACTTGACGAGGTGTAGCTTCTGTGAATAGCTTTTGTTGTAATAATTTGTTGAAAATATATACCCAAATGACTTGGTTACAGTATTGTAATGAGTATGTGTTAGTATACATGATTGCCTGTGTATCAACTGAATGTTTAATATGTTTCAAACAGTAAGTGTGCATATGGCTTCATACAGTGGCTTGCAAAACAGGCCCCGGTCCATTATCTATGAGTAAATGAAGCATATCAGGTCATAGTTCATCTTCTATGAACCAGAAAAAGAGTTCAATCAATGCGGAGGGTGTGACCGGCACAGAGTACAATCCACATTGAAGCATGTCATCTTATCTCGTACATGGGTTGATTGATAAGTTGTGACCCTGGCATACAAAGACTTGAACTTAATGATATATTTTCTAACATCCACTTCCACATTGGTGCCAGTGATGTTGGAAGGATTTTTTTTCATTTGAGTCAAAATAGGTACTGGCTTGAGCTATCATCATGTCTGTGAAAGGGGTTAAAGGCACACCCATGGATATAGCAATGGGAGTGAAGGATAAGTGCACTGATGGATTGTTCCGATGGAAGAGCTCACCATTTCTCAGGCTCCAATGTATCCTTCTTCTGTAATTTCCTCAAAAGTGCAACATAATATGTTTCTTTTCTTAATGGCCTTTTGAAAGATATTGCATCAGGATGCCGCCTTTGTCATCACAGAAAATGGAGGTCATTACAGTGTTGGCCAGCTTTGGTGAATGTTTCCTCTATTTGTTGTTTCACCTGAGACTGTAAGCAGAAAACCCAGATTTCATCCATAGTCCCAAATTGTTGCAAGGACCTTTCTGGATCAGCTTCAAACAGAGCTAAGATTGTCAAAAGACTGCCTGGTGCTGCCTGGTACATTTTGGATCAGATGACAGATGCTTTGTAACCCAAGAAGCTGACTCTTTCTTCATTGCCAAAGTTTCTTGTGTAGTGTGCTTTCCATCTAATAAGTTACACAGTTTGTGAAAACAGTTATTAAATCACCAGCTAAACAAGGAATGCCATGAAATAAGAATGTGTAAGTGTTGTTTGCACTCAGACATTTATTGTTCTTTTAGTAGTTTGGTAGACTAATATCTAGTCTCTGAAATAAAACATATTTCACAGAGAAAGAGCCGTTCTTTAATTGTTTTGATGAAATGTAATATCTAAGTACAGAGACTTTCTTCATTTTCATAACTGCAGAAATCTAGACTTGCCACGTATTATTGACTGGCGTGGGCTGTATTAGGTCTATTTCTTTAGTTTAAGCTGCTGCAACCAATTGTACAATTGTTCTCTCAGAGGCATACCTGGATCCTTTAACTGAAATAGAATTGTTAGTCAGAACAGAAGCCTGCTTGATGGTTTAAAGTGGATCAGGATCTACATGACTTCCTCCTTATTGACTCTCATTGGGATTATAGTGACACTGTAACGTAATTGAAATACTGGTTCAGAGCTCCAGATAAGATTTAGCTCATGTAGGTTCTGTACCTACTGTATTTTTTTTGGAGTGGGTATTATGAATGTTGAGTGGGTATTTCATTTTCCGTTACCCACTGCTTTCAAATATGTGGGTATTTTATATTCAGTGATTTTACTCACCTAAGTATATATCATTGAGTAAGTTTACTAAGCAGGTATGTACTGCCTTATGTCAGTGTATGAAATAAGGCCCGTCCGACCGCCCGAGACGGGCTAGATTTCTGACGGACGGTCTACATTTACAGCTAGCCAGTTGATGGTCTGGTAAATTTTTTTAGATGTTCCATACATCTGAGTAAATTCACCATATATCTTGGTGTCTGGTCTGGTTAAATTCATTTCGGACGGGTAACATTTTGAAGTTACCAGCCTGATGTCTGGCTGGGTTTTGGCTTGTTTCATACACTGCTTATGTCATACCTAAACAAAACCAACTTAAATATGATGGAAATGATTTCAATAAAAAATCACTCATCCTGTACTGACGGTACAGCACTAGTCCTATACTAACAATACAACTTGATACCAATCGATGTCTTTTTCATTATGCAAGCGATTTTTATAAATATATTCCGTACACATATGTTTGAAACTTTTTGCGTATGTAACACTTTAAATGCGTAATTGGTACGCAACAATTATTTTTCAATGCATAATTGGAAATTTTCTATGCGTATTTTACCCGGATATGCAGCTTATCTGGTCCTCTGCTGTTTCATGGCATTTCCAGCTGACACAAAAATATAGTTTGAACACTGATAAATGATATTTTAACTGAATAATTGCAACTTCTTTGTATGCCAAAGAAGTTCAGTCATCTTTATTAGTATGTCAGCACTATGTACCCATGCTTGTGGGTTTTAACAAACTGGTAAACGTCTTGACACTCACAACACTTCAAGCTTCCTTACAACAATAAGATGGCAGGGTGTGACGAGAATACTGTGCAAAGTGACTCCAAACTCACTCACTCATGGAAACTCAGAACATTTTTCTTTAAACTTCAGGAAGGGGAGATAACTCAGATGAGGAACGGAAGGCGAGAATTAGACAGAAGCTACAAGAAGAACATACACAGAAGGTAGAACATGAATGTGAAAGTTTAGTCATTTTGTTTTAAATGTACTGGTACATAGTTGTTGATGGAGATTTGGAATAAGTCATATTGTTTTGTCATAATATAAGCGGGTTGATAGGCATTTAGAAATTTGAATAAAAGAATGTAATGAAGTGTGTCTAGACCTGAAATATGAAATCAAACACCAAAAAGGTTCCCAATTAAATAATATCCATAATTTTTCATGTCTTCATATATTACAAAAGCAAGATTTATGGATGTCAACTGCCACTTCTGAATGCCCTTCAAAGATTTGATCTTCATATATTGTGTATACATTTGTCCCATACTGATAAATTCAAGGTGTTTAGTCACAATTTTTCCCATACATCTGTAGGCTGATATTGATATATTGTTATGACCTGGTGTATTCTGGCAGGCTAACAGCTACAAGGACCGTATTCTGACACCAAGGGAGGAGGCCAAGAGGATTCAAAAAGAAGAAGAATTTGAAAAGTTTCTGGGACCAGCTTGGAAAGGTCAAGGTCACTCATTAGGGGTATGTGTGATATCGGTACACCAGCTGGTTTAGTTCATCTTACACCTAAACCATATCCCACAGCTCACCACTGAGTTAATCTCACTCCCTTTCTTGAAGATGGTTTTGGTCTGACTGAATACTTGTCACAAAGGCAAAAAGGAATTTTTGTTGTGACTTAATTATCCAATGATCCTTACCCCCACACACCTGTAATTGTAGGTTCAACAGAGGTAAATGTGAATTTAAATGAATTCTGCTTGTAAGTTCAATGTAGCCTTTAACAATGACATTAATGACTGCCAATCATCACCTGCCCCCTTTTACCCAAATCTCTCTGTCAATCCCTGGTTCCTTTTGGTCTGGCTAAGGATCTTTTGTATATCTGTGGGGCCAACTTAAACAGATTTCCTTGGCAGGTTATTTTTCAGAATATTCCTTTTGATGTTAATGCCTGTGTTTCTATAGGGCAATGATAATGAGGAACCTGACAGTACTGAAGTGGGTGGGGAAAGTCAACCCAACAGGACTGCAGCACGCAGGAGGAAGCTGCCCGAGGAACCCACGTTAACATGTGGGGATGTGAAGCCCAAGACAGGGAAACCTATACAAGTAAGTATACTCAGAAACTAGGTGTGTAGTGATTGTTTGAACTATTACTTTGGTGATTGATGTAACCATTCCAGTAATGATTGGTAGGTAGGTAGGTTTAATTAATTCCTCCAGATTTGGAGATACAAAATAAATTGAATATTAAAGCTTAAATTGTAATAATGATTAGTGGAATTATCCCAGTAATGATTGTTGCAACTATCACAGTAATGATTGGTGGAATTATCCCAGTAATGATTGTTGCAACTATCACAGTAATGATTGCTGGAATTATCCCAGTAATGATTGGTGCAACTATCCCAGTAATGATTGGTGCAACTATCCTAGTAATGATTGGTGCAACTATCCCAGTAATGATTGGTGCAACTATCCCAGTAATGATTGGTGGAATTATCCCAGTAATGATTGGTGCAAATATCCCAGTAGTGATTAGTGCAACTATCACAGTAATGATTGATGCAAATATCCCAGTAATGATTGGTGGAATTATCGCAGTAATGATTGATGCAACTATCCCAGTAATGAGTGGTGGAATTATCTGAGTAATGATTGATACAACTATCTCAGTAATGATTGGTGCAATTTTCGAGGGATGATTGGTGCAACTATCCCAGTAATGATTGATGCAACTATCCTAGTAATGATTGATGCAACTATCCCAGTAATGATTGGTGCCACTATCGCAGTAATGATTGGTGCAACTATCCCAGTAATGATTGTTGCAACTATCCCAGTAATGATTGGTGCAACTATCCCAGTAATGATTGATGCAAATATCCCAGTAATGATTGGTGGAATTATCGCAGGAATGATTGATGCAACTATCCCAGTAATGAGTGGTGGAATTATCTGAGTAATGATTGATACAACTATCTCAGTAATGATTGGTGCAATTTTCGAGGGATGATTGGTGCAACTTTTGCAGTAATGATTGGTTGAACAATCATAGTAATGATTGGTGCAACTATCCCAGTAATGATTGGTGCCACTATCGCAGTAATGATTGATGCAACTATCCCAGTAATGATTGATGCAACTATCCTAGTAATGATTGGTGCCACTATCCCAGTAATGATTGGTGCAACTATCCCAGTAATGATTGGTGCAACTATCCCAGTAATGATTGGTGCAACTATCCCAGTAATGATTGGTGCCACTATCGCAGTAATGATTGGTGCAACTATCCCAGTAATGATTGGTGCAACTATCCTAGTAATGATTGGTGCCACTATCCCAGTAATGATTGGTGCAAATATCCCAGTAGTGATTAGTGCAACTATCACAGTAATGATTGATGCAAATATCCCAGTAATGATTGGTGGAATTATCGCAGTAATGATTGATGCAACTATCCCAGTAATGAGTGGTGGAATTATCTGAGTAATGATTGATACAACTATCTCAGTAATGATTGGTGCAATTTTCGAGGGATGATTGGTGCAACTTTTGCAGTAATGATTGGTTGAACAATCATAGTAATGATTGGTGCAACTATCCCAGTAATGATTGGTGCCACTATCGCAGTAATGATTGATGCAACTATCCCAGTAATGATTGATGCAACTATCCTAGTAATGATTGGTGCCACTATCCCAGTAATGATTGGTGCAACTATCCCAGTAATGATTGGTGCAACTATCCCAGTAATGATTGGTGCAACTATCCCAGTAATGATTGGTGCCACTATCGCAGTAATGATTGGTGCAACTATCCCAGTAATGATTGGTGCAACTATCCTAGTAATGATTGGTGCCACTATCCCAGTAATGATTGGTGCAACTATCCCAGTAATGATTGGTGCAACTATCCCAGTAATGATTGGTGCAACTATCCCAGTAATGATTGGTGCCACTATCGCAGTAATGATTGGTGCAGCTATCCCAGTAATGATTGGTGGAATTATCGCAGTAATGATTGATGCAACTATCGCAGTAATGATTGGTGCAACTATCGCAGTAATGATTGGTGCAACTATCGCAGTAATGATTGGTGCAACTATCGCAGTAATGATTGGTGCAACTATCGCAGTAATGATTGGTGCAACTATCCCAGTAATGATTGGTGCAACTATCGCAGTAATGATTGGTGCAACTATCGCAGTAATGATTGGTGCAACTATCCCAGTAATGATTGGTGCAACTATCCCAGTAATGATTGGTGCAACTATCGCAGTAATGATTGGTGCAACTATCCCAGTAATGATTGGTGCAACTATCCCAGTAATGATTGGTGCAACTATCGCAGTAATGATTGGTGCAACTATCGCCAGTAATGATTGGTGCAACTATCCCAGTAATGATTGGTGCAACTATCCCAGTAATGATTGGTGCAACTATCCCAGTAATGATTGGTGCAACTATCCCAGTAATGATTGGTGCAACTATCCCAGTAATGATTGGTGCAACTATCGCAGTAATGATTGGTGCAACTATCGCAGTAATGATTGGTGCAACTATCCCAGTAATGATTGGTGCAACTATCCCAGTAATGATTGGTGCAACTATCGCAGTAATGATTGGTGCAACTATCCCAGTAATGATTGGTGCAACTATCCCAGTAATGATTGGTGCAACTATCCCAGTAATGATTGGTGCAACTATCGCAGTAATGATTGGTGCAACTATCCCAGTAATGATTGGTGCAACTATCCCAGTAATGATTGGTGCAACTATCCCAGTAATGATTGGTGCAACTATCCCAGTAATGATTGGTGCCACTATCCCAGTAATGATTGGTGCCACTATCGCAGTAATGATTGGTGCAGCTATCCCAGTAATGATTGGTGCAACTATCCCAGTAATGATTGGTGCCACTATCCCAGTAATGATTGGTGCAACTATCGCAGTAAAGATTGGTTGAACAATCATAGTAATGACTCTGGAAACAATCAGAGTAGCGTTTGGTTGATCTTTTGCAGTAGTTGTTGGTTGTACTATCGCAGTACTGATTGGTGGAACAATCACAGTTGTGTTTGGTTAAACTATCACAGTATTTTAGGATTATTATTAGGGTTCATGAATAGTATTTTTTGTCACAGGTGATAAAGCTGCCCGATGAGCCAGAAGAGAGTGAGGAACACTGTGTGAATGTGATACTCAGAACACCTGTCGGGAAAAGATGCAGCAGGAGGTTCCTCCATACACATACCGTGAAGGTGAGAAACTCTGCTGAATAGCACCATGGTTAAGTGTTTGCCTGTATGTAGTTGTCCCATGTTCAGATCCCTCCCTACAGATACAGGTAAGGTGAGGCTCACTGTGAGTAGCCCCGTGGTTTAGTGTTTGCCTGTATGCAGTTGTCCCATGTTCAGATCTCTCCCTACAGATACAGGTAAGGTGAGACTCACTGTGAGTAGCCCCATGGTTTAGTGTTTGCTTGTATGCAGTTGTCCCATGTTCAGATCCCTCCCTACAGATGCAGGTAAGGTGAGACTCACTGTGAGTAGTCCCATGGTTTAGCGTTTGCCTGTATGCAGTTGTCCCATGTTCAGATCCCTCCCTACAGATGCAGGTAAGGTGAGAGACTCACTGTGAGTAGCCCCATGGTTTAGTGTTTGCTTTGTATGCAGTTTTCCCATGTTCAGATCCCTCCCTACAGATACAGGTAAGGTGAGACTCACTGTGAGTAGCCCCATGGTTTAGTGTTTGCCTGTATGCAGTTGTCCTGTGTTCAGATCCTTCCTACAGACACAGGTAAGGTGAGACTCACTGTGAGTAGCCCCATGGTTTAGTGTTTGCTTGTATGCAGTTGACCCATGTTCAGATCCCTCCCTACAGATGCAGGTAAGGTGAGACTCACTGTGAGTAGCCCCATGGTTTAGTGTTTGCTTGTATGCAGTTGTCCCATGTTCAGATCCCTCCCTACAGATACAGGTAAGGTGAGACTCACTGTGAGTAGTCCCATGGTTTAGTGTTTGCTTGTATGCAGTTGTCCCATGTTCAGATCCCTCCCTACAGACACAGGTAAGGTGAGACTCACTGTGAGTAGCCCCATGGTTTAGTGTTTGCTTGTATGCAGTTGTCCCATGTTGAGATCCCTCCCTACTGACACAGGTAAGGTGAGACTCTCTGTGAGTAGTCCCATGGTTTAGTGTTTGCTTGTATGCAGTTGTCCCGTGTTCAGATCCCTCCCTTAAGATGCAGGTAAGGTGAGACTCACTGTGAGTAGTCCCATGGTTTAGTGTTTGCTTGTATGCAGTTGTCCCATGTTCAGATCCCTCCCTACAGATACAGGTAAGGTGAGGCTCACTGTGAGTAGCCCCATGGTTTAGTGTTTGCCTGTATGCAGTTGTCCCATGTTCAGATCCCTCCCTACAGATACAGGTAAGGTGAGACTCACTGTGAGTAGCCCCATGGTTTAGTGTTTGCTTGTATGCAGTTGTCCCGTGTTCAGATCTCTCCCTACAGATACAGGTAAGGTGAGACTAACTGTGAGTAGTCCCATGGTGTAGTGTTTGCTTGTATGCAGTTGTCCCATGTTCAGATCCCTCCCTACAGATGCAGGTAAGGTGAGACTCACTGTGAGTAGTCCCATGGTTTAGTGTTTGCCTGTATGCAGTTGTCCCATGTTCAGATCCCTCCCTACAGATGCAGGTAAGGTGAGACTCACTGTGAGTAGTCCCATGGTTTAGTATTTGCTTGTATGCAGTTGTCCCATGTTCAGATCCCTCCCTACAGATACAGGTAAGGTGAGGCTCACTGTGAGTAGCCCCGTGGTTTAGTGTTTGCCTGTATGCAGTTGTCCCATGTTCAGATCCCTCCCTACAGATACAGGTAAGGTGAGACTCACTGTGAGTAGCCCCATGGTTTAGTGTTTGCTTGTATGCAGTTGTCCCATGTTCAGATCCCTCCCTACAGATGCAGGTAAGGTGAGACTCACTGTGAGTAGTCCCATGGTTTAGCGTTTGCCTGTATGCAGTTGTCCCATGTTCAGATCCCTCCCTACAGATGCAGGTAAGGTGAGACTCACTGTGAGTAGCCCCATGGTTTAGTGTTTGCTTGTATGCAGTTGTCCCATGTTGAGATCCCTCCCTACAGACACAGGTAAGGTGAGACTCACTGTGAGTAGCCCCATGGTTTAGTGTTTGCCTGTATGCAGTTGTCCCATGTTCAGATCCCTCCCTACAGATACAGGTAAGGTGAGACTCACTGTGAGTAGCCCCATGGTTTAGTGTTTGCTTGTATGCAGTTGTCCCATGTTCAGATCCCTCCCTACAGACACAGGTAAGGTGAGACTCACTGTGAGTAGTCCCATGGTTTAGCGTTTGCCTGTATGCAGTTGTCCCATGTTCAGATCCCTCCCTACAGACACAGGTAAGGTGAGACTCACTGTGAGTAGCCCCATGGTTTAGTGTTTGCTTGTATGCAGTTGTCCCATGTTCAGATCCCTCCCTACAGACACAGGTAATGTGAGACTCACTGTGAGTAGCCCCATGGTTTAGTGTTTGCTTGTATGCAGTTGTCCCGTGTTCAGATCCCTCCCTTAAGATACAGGTAAGGTGAGACTCACTGTGAGTAGTCCCATGGTTTAGTATTTGCTTGTATGCAGTTGTCCCATGTTCAGATCCCTCCCTACAGATACAGGTAAGGTGAGTCTCACTGTGAGTAGTCCCATGGTTTAGTGTTTGCTTGTATGCAGTTGTCCCATGTTCAGATCTCTCCCTACAGACACAGGTAAGGTGAGACTCACTGTGAGTAGCCCCATGGTTTAGTGTTTGCTTGTATGCAGTTGTCCCATGTTCAGATCCCTCCTACAGATACAGGTAAGGTGAGTCTCACTGTGAGTAGCCCCATGGTTTAGTGTTTGCTTGTATGCAGTTGTCCCATGTTCAGATCTCTCCCTACAGACACAGGTAAGGTGAGACTCACTGTGAGTAGCCCCATGGTTTAGTGTTTGCTTGTATGCAGTTGTCCCATGTTCAGATCCCTCCCTACAGATACAGGTAAGGTGAGTCTCACTGTGAGTAGCCCCATGGTTTAGTGTTTGCTTGTATGCAGTTGTCCCATGTTCAGATCTCTCCCTACAGACACAGGTAAGGTGAGACTCACTGTGAGTAGCCCCATGGTTTAGTGTTTGCTTGTATGCAGTTGTCCCATGTTCAGATCCCTCCCTACAGATACAGGTAAGGTGAGACTCACTGTGAGTAGCCCCATGGTTTAGTGTTTGCTTGTATGCAGTTGTCCCATGTTCAGATCCCTCCCTACAGACACAGGTAAGGTGAGACTCACTGTGAGTAGCCCCATGGTTTAGTGTTTGCTTGTATGCAGTTGTCCCATGTTCAGATCCCTCCCTACAGATACAGGTAAGGTGAGACTCACTGTGAGTAGCCCCATGGTTTAGTGTTTGCTTGTATGCAGTTGTCCCATGTTCAGATCCCTCCCTACAGACACAGGTAAGGTGAGACTCACTGTGAGTAGCCCCATGGTTTAGTGTTTGCTTGTATGCAGTTGTCCCATGTTCAGATCCCTCCCTACAGACACAGGTAAGGTGAGACTCACTGTGAGTAGTCCCATGGTTTAGTGTTTGCTTGTATGCAGTTGTCCCATGTTCAGATACCTCCTACAGACACAGGTAAGGTGAGACTCACTGTGAGTAGCCCCATGGTTTAGTATTTGCTTGTATGCAGTTGTCCCATGTTCAGATCTCTCCCTACAGACACAGGTAAGGTGAGACTCACTGTGAGTAGCCCCATGGTTTAGTGTTTGCTTGTATGCAGTTGTCCCATGTTCAGATCCTCCCTACAGACACAGGTAAGGTGAGACTCACTGTGAGTAGCCCCATGGTTTAGTGTTTGCTTGTATGCAGTTGTCCCATGTTCAGATCCCTCCCTACAGATACAGGTAAGGTGAGACTCACTGTGAGTAGCCCCATGGTTTAGTGTTTGCTTGTATGCAGTTGTCCCATGTTCAGATCTCTCCCTACAGACACAGGTAAGGTGAGACTCACTGTGAGTAGCCCCATGGTTTAGTGTTTGCTTGTATGCAGTTGTCCCATGTTCAGATCCCTCCCTACAGATACAGGTAAGGTGAGACTCACTGTGAGTAGCCCCATGGTTTAGTGTTTGCTTGTATGCAGTTGTCCCATGTTCAGATCCCTCCCTACAGACACAGGTAAGGTGAGACTCACTGTGAGTAGCCCCATGGTTTAGTGTTTGCTTGTATGCAGTTGTCCCATGTTCAGATCCCTCCCTACAGATACAGGTAAGGTGAGTCTCACTGTGAGTAGCCCCATGGTTTAGTGTTTGCTTGTATGCAGTTGTCCCATGTTCAGATCCTTCCTACAGACACAGGTAAGGTGAGACTCACTGTGAGTAGCCCCATGGTTTAGTGTTTGCTTGTATGCAGTTGTCCCATGTTCAGATCCCTCCCTACAGACACAGGTAAGGTGAGACTCACTGTGAGTAGTCCCATGGTTTAGTGTTTGCTTGTATGCAGTTGTCCCATGTTCAGATACCTCCCTACAGACACAGGTAAGGTGAGACTCACTGTGAGTAGCCCCATGGTTTAGTATTTGCTTGTATGCAGTTGTCCCATGTTCAGATCTCTCCCTACAGACACAGGTAAGGTGAGACTCACTGTGAGTAGCCCCATGGTTTAGTGTTTGCTTGTATGCAGTTGTCCCATGTTCAGATCCCTCCCTACAGACACAGGTAAGGTGAGACTCACTGTGAGTAGCCCCATGGTTTAGTGTTTGCTTGTATGCAGTTGTCCCATGTTCAGATCCCTCCCTACAGATACAGGTAAGGTGAGACTCACTGTGAGTATCCCTGGGTGTTCTTACATATTTATATAGACTATGATCCTCCATTACCAGTGAATAATGGTACATAAGGGCACTATGTAGTGTAATAATGACACACTCTATTCATAGTCATGTACTGATATGAGACCATGTATATTTATGGATGTCACATGAGCTCAACTCCAAACATAAACTTGGTTGAACTTGATCTCCTTGTGTTGGGTGTGCTTTACCTGCAATGTGTCCCCACTCCAGGGCTGATTGATACATTCTGAGACTTCCATAGAAATATTTGCACTGTGAAAAAATATCAACAAAACATTTACTCATAACACATGTTATATTTGATGTTACACTTTCTCCATAAAGTACAGATTCTTGTACTTTTGTTGGGTTCAGTCCCACCCATGATTC